TTATTATATAGTGAGAAATGATGTCAAATGTCTTCTGAAAGTAAAAGACAAAGTTAACCTTTAGGCACACAAATACAGTATGTTGCTGGTCACATGATCAAGGTGTGTGCAAGTTTCAACAAGAGCCTGAAACGACTCTCAGAAAAATAATAATGATGATGTCTTCTATGTCAACTCTGATCTATTTCTGTCCATTTACACTATAAACAATGACATGTCTTTCTGTCTCTCCACACGCAGCCACTCTGATGATTAAAGGGCCAACTGAGCCGCTTCTGGAGGGAGAAYCGGTCACTCTGGAATGCCTCTTCACAGATTCTGATCTCAATGTCACCCAGGTCCACTTTGAGTACCAACATCCAGTAAGTCCTGGAATGGTTTGTGTGGGTGCTTGTCATGTCAAAACAAGAGCACACAACAAAGAATAGAGAAAATATTTAAATGTTAATAGTGAATTATTATTATTTTTTTCAAACTGAGAAGCAACAGTGTCAAGTTTAATCCATTATTTTGTTCCTTACAGTTATGGTGGGATCCAGTTACTTGTAGATTATTCCCATAAAATGTAGAATTCATGTGGAAAATGTTGATATCTGTAAACTACAGAAGCACTTATTACAACAGCGTGCAATTCTCAGCTAACCCTAAAAGTATCAGAAAAACCATACGTAGATTCTGTTTAGCTTGTTAAATTTGTTCATGTCCCATGAAGCTTGTGAATCTGATGCCGTCAAAATGTTGTGGTTAACGACTTTCTGTTTTACTTTCTGTTTTATCAAAAAAAATGTCAGTGGGAACAGATCTGTTTAAAAGTGAGGTTTATTTAGCTCATTACGCAGCCGAGYCATTCAATTATTTTTTATGTTGCTGAAATAATGGTGCCTTCACAATTTGTTTTTCACTTATATGTATCAGTCCTAGTTCCTTATTTTTACACTGTGTGCTGATAACAAGCAAGAATGTACTTTGTTTCCATCAGCCTCAGGGACTTACCGTCTAAAAGTTTAAAAGTGAATGTAAAAGTTTGCTTTGACCCATGGGTGACTTTGATCCGGTCCGTCAATTTTTATTTGTTTCTTTTTGTTATATAAAAAAAAATTACTTGAGAGCAGCTTTGAGTGTTTTTAAGTAGAAAAAAAATATATACATATACAC